ACATCATTATCAGGACAAATCTACATGGCTAGTTTTTAGAGTTTTTACACCATGTATATTTCTCTTGCGCGCTAAGAAGTTATTGTGATAGAGAGACCTGGTGTATAAGAACGCCTGATCTAGAACAATTTTTTTCCATCAAAAATAGTGCAAATTGCAGTAACTAAAGGATGCATGAGTCAAAAAATCTACGATACATCCAATCAAAAAAGAGAGGTTACAATAAGAAAAATGCAAGTGGAAAACTCTTCAAAGCATCCCAGAAACTTTAATTCCAAAAATTCATAATCCACCACAATATATTTCATGTTGATATAAGAGACATTCTACTATATTGCGTCAAAAGTAGGATAAGATCGGGAATATTTAGAGCCTGTTTGGTGCACAATAAAATGAAAGAATGCATTTTTTTGAAGTGATGTGATGGGGAATATGTGGTAGAAAATGAAGGAAAAATTATTGATGTGATGGAAAATATTAATATATTGAAGAATGTGTGGATGAAAATGAGAATTGATTTACAGTAGAAAATGAAATCTGTACCAAACAGGCTCTAGATTTTTAATAGATTTTGATAAAAGATGTGTGATTAAAAAGCTGTGGTCTCATAAAATATGTGATTAAAATTAATTGTTGAATTTGATTTAGCCATTGTTTGGTCCCCATTATTTCCAAAATATATTTTTCTCTCTTATTTTTAACTATACATTTTTCAATAAAATAATATTATACGTAAATCCAAAACTTTTCCTTATTTTAATCATAGATTTTCCATCAAATTCCTCAAAATGCATTTTTGACAAAAAGGAGACTCAAACAGACTCTTATATTAAAATTTAGATTTTAATTCACACCAAACGATGGCTTAAAATGCACCTGTTTCGGCTACTTTTGAAACCTCCTCTATTTAAAGTAATAAAATTAGGGAAAAATGAAAAAAATAATAGATAAGGGAAGAAAACAGCTACCTCCACCTCACTCGTTACCATTCCCCTTCCCGTTGTGCAACACCACCCACTTCCTCTCCCATCACTATCGGAACATATTTGAAACTTCTGTTTCATCGCAAAACTAGAGTTTCAGATTTGGTTCAGTGAAGGCGAGGTTGGGCGCATGTGTTGCCATAGTGGGGATGGGGATGTGTGTGGAGGAGGTGATGGTTGCGGTAGGAATTGGGTGAGATAGAAGGAACATTTTTCTTTTTAAAATCTTTCTATTTTTAATTTTCTTTTACCATTTTTTTGTTCTTTATTTTATTTTAAATAAGATAATGTGCAAACACCTTTTTGTCCTTTAAATTGGTTCGTCTATTATTAAATTTTGATCAATAACGAACTTTTGGATGAAAACGTTTAAGGGTTTAAGGGACGTGGAACTTCATAGCAATTTAAGGTTTGGAATTTTGAATATAAAAATGAAAGTTTTGGAACCTATGACACTTTTTTTGAAAATTTTGAAACCCTTGATGCAATTTATCCATTTTATAACGTAGAGGAGTCAAGGAACTTGTATCTATTGTTGACCCTCTTAGCATATGAAAAAACATAAAAATATTAGTGTAAGACAACATAATAAGTGCAAAATAAGAGGGCGTTTGGTGTAGATTAAAATCAGATTTTAAGTTAATTGTGATAGAAGTTTTTGAAATGTGTGGTTGAAAAGATGTGGGATCCATGAAAGATATGATTGATATTGATTGTTTGACTTTAATTTAGATTAAAATATAACCCAAACAGACTCTAAATTTATTTGAGCAAGTAAACTCATTGATTTATCATGCACACGTATTTAGAAGACGAGCTATAGTTGAATTCGGACATTCGAGCATATTTTTGGGGTGAAATAACAAAGTGTAATACTATTTATTCCCAGTAAGCATTTTTACCCGTTTATGTAGTAGTGGTGAAGTGTTGAAAATAGAGATGTAAATTTTTATTTTTACTTATTTTAGAATATTAGAAAGCAACTTGTTACTACTTTCATCGTTTTCTCGTTTAGTAGAGATTTTTTTGAGAATTAATTTTATAAAAAGTAACTCTTTGAATAGTGTATAATTAAATAGTAGAAAAAATTATCGATGCACACTGTTTGACAGCCATTATTTGATTTTTTTACATACTCATTTTCAACTACACATTTATTATTGAAAAATTTATTTAATTAGTTGGTTTGACCAACTTTTGGTCAATTATTTACGTGGGTCATGTTAGTTGGACAAAAGATTTATTTGGTCGAGTTTATTCTACTCCATGAGTAAATTAATATAATGTATTTATTTTCTCGATCAATTTAGGATGAATGAGAAATTAAGGCCAAAAGATGATCACTTGAAGTTGAAATAAATTAGAAATAAAAATTGATGAAAAATTGGAAAATGTCAATCCCACATAAAAAAACTAGAAGAGTAGAAACCACTTTATATAACTCAAGTTTGGGAATTGGGTTTGAGCCCCAAAGAAAACTAATACTCTTTGAAGGGAAGATGACCAAAATGTTAATAGGTTGAGCCAAAGTTCACTCGTGTGCTGCCGTCTAACCGGCTGACTTGACTTGATAGCAAGTCCAAATGGGCCGTGTTTGTTCAAAACACAACTTTTTAACTGTTGTATCTTTTGGACACAACTTTTTAATTTCTATAAATAAGTCCATATATGTCGGATTTTATTCATTTCAAAATCATTCTTGATTTTCTCTCTTACAATATATAGTCCTTCCATTATGCATTATTTCATATTGTACATTTTAATCTTGAATATTATTTTCGTGCATTTTAAGTCCTTCAATTTTAGAAAAATCAAAACATCGGTAGGTTCGTCGGTCTTGTAATTTGGAGTGCCATTATGACAAGTCGAGGTTGTTGTACCTTGAAAGACGAGTATCAGAAGATCACCAGCACTAGTGTAGGGCATTATCATTTTAAGGAGAAAGAGTCGAACTCTTGCTTCGACCATAACCATTCTGTTTTACTCCGTTCATTCTATAAGTCGGAATTCTGCCAAATTGTTTATTCACTGTAAAAAGTTTATTTTGAATATAAATTATTGCATGGTAATATCAATACTCACTAACATTTAAACAATAAAACATTCTGTACGTAAATTCAAATTTTTTCCTACTTTTTAATCACACGTTCTCCTAAAAATCGTATTTAAAACAATGTTTTTCCTAAGTAACGATTATCAAACAGAGGCTTAATCTATTTTATTGAATTATTTTTTTTAAACAAAGGTTATGTCTCTGTTTGGTGCACATTTTTATATTAAGAATGCATTTTTTTAATTTGATGGAAAATATGTGGTTGAAAATGAAGGAAAAATTATTGATGCAATGAAAAATATTATTTTATTAAAAAATGCGCGATTGAAAATGAGTGTAAGAATGATATTGAAAAAATAATGTGGCTGGATTCTGCTGGGACCAACATAAAATATTGCAACTTACCTTATATAAAGCCAAAGAAAATAAGAAAAAATAAAAGGAAAGAGAGCCAGTAGCTTTATCCGTAAGGTCCTGTTGGTTTGTGGGTTTTGCTGCTATCTAGGGTTTCAATTTCTTCCAGAACTAGAACGCACAATTGTAAATCTCTCTCCATCTATTCTATATTTTCGCCTTTGACATCCGTTGTTTCCTTGGTGCCTAGATTTTTGAATTGAAATTAAAAGTTCTCTCCTTTTCCGTGAGGAGATCTGATAAAGTGTTTTTCCCCAACCAACACGATGTCGCGTTCGAATAAAAATATGGAAGACGAACTGGCTGCTGCTGGGAACAGGCTTCTTCAGCCTCTGGATTCTGTTGATGAACTCCTGCCTTTGCTTGATGTGAGCCCTAACAAATATCTTTTCGATTCTTGGATCCGCAAAAGTGCTTGATTACTTATTCCTATTAAAGAAATCAGTTTCTTGGATTAATTATTACTTTTACAATGTTGTTATGCTTAATTTCTTGTTCTCATCGAATAATTTCAACGGAAAAGTTACTTCTACAGGAATTCATTCTCACTAATTGCTTCTTTATTGTCACGCATTTTGTCCGCTTTCCTATCATCATTTTTTGTACTGTTAATATTTTTCTCATTAGAGTTTAGGAATCTTCTACTGATACGAAACCCAATCAATGCTTCCAACTAAATCATTTATTGAAATATTCTTCACGTGCCTATAATATCACGCCTTGGTTGAGAAATAGAAGTGAAAGTGAATCCTTGCTTCTAGTTTGTATCCTCCCAGGACCTTGATCTATCAAGTTTGTTTTTCTGTAATTCTGGGACCCTGCAAACTTTGGGATACGTAAAGACTTGTGACTTGCATTTATCATCAATTTTCTGAACAAGTCTGTCTTCCTATTTTACATGTATGGACATGTCATGCAAATTGTTATATCTGTCCATAATTTTTTTAAAGTGCAAGAAAATGTGTTCAAATTGTTCTCTGCTAGTCTATTATCTGGTCGACATCTTCCCGTAATCCTCTCTCTTTTTCTGCTTGAAGCAAACTGAGGTTAATCTCTCAAAAGTGGAGCAGTCACCTTCCAGAACCATGCAAACTGCTCTTTCTTCACTGATGAAGGCATTGGTTGCGGATGAGCTTTTGAAGCATTCAGATATTGATGTGAAAGTTGCAGTAGCTTCTTGCATAAATGAAATAACCAGAATTACTGCACCAGAAGCTCCATATGATGATGAGAAAATGAAGGTGCCGGGAATTTCCATTTGAATTCTCTTTTTATCCTCTTGATGGCTGTCTACGTAACACTTCATTTGGCTATAATACAGGATATCTTTCAATTGATTGTATCATCCTTTGAGCATTTATATGACAAATCCAGCAGATCTTATGCTAAGAGGGCCATGATACTGGAAACTGTTTCCAAAGTGAGGTCATGTGTCATCATGTTGGATTTAGAATGTGATCAAATGATAACTGAGATGTTCCAGCATTTCTTTAAAGCCATAAGGTAAGAATTTTTATGAAATTCTGCCTAGTAGTTACAAACCTAATGCAGTTTTTGTTGCCACTATAATGTCCTTATTTTTCTATATTAGCTATTCTATTATCAAAGCATACACTGATTTGTAGTCTATATTTTTCTCTTTCATTTTTTAGAGATTTATCTAGTTCCAAGTTTTTGAATACTGTGTTATCCCCCAATTAAAGAACATTAAAAGTTTTTCTATTTGCTATTTCCTATTAAAAGTTGAACTAGGTGGAGATTCTTATTTATTTATTTATTTGATTTTTTTTTTTTGGAGAAACCGCATTCTTTAGTCTCAGGCATCTGGCTCATATCTCGACATTTATTTTCCTATCTTTGATTATTTATCGCCAAAAATCTCGAGGCATGAGTGATGTGTGGTCTAGCGCTCAGATGGTTATGATTCTATGACGAATGGAATGATGCAGAACTTAGCTATGTTACATTGTAGCAAAACTTACTCCCCTTATTGACTAGCCGTATATGCTCGAATTACGACAATGCTTTTGCCTAAATCTTCACTTAGAATTTGTTAATACACTCGATTATTCTTGTTTCTCTTGGGGGAAGAAAAAAGAAAGATCTTGTCCTGCACAGGCATTTAACTTGTAAGTATGAGAGATAACATAATCACTCTATTTATCATGCTAACTTTATGTTTAAAAATCAGACACATGGGAAAGCTTATGATGTATGACTTCTCATTTTTTGCATTCCCGGCAGAAGAGAAAATTGATACATTTGATAGGAAATCTCGTATAAACAAAATTTGACGATTTCTTAACTTTCATTCATGAATTTAGTGGAGGATTGTGATCCAAAATATGCACCGAAGGCCTATTTTCTAAGTAAGGACAATGAAGAATACATTCTGAAGAAATAAGGAAAATCTATGGCAATACAAGAAATTAGAATCCACGTGATTATTAGTTTTAACTCTATCTCTGTACGTGCCATGTAGTAGATATTTTGAAATTGATTACATAGATACTAGGAAGCACAGACGTTTGTGGTGCCGGTGAGTCAGTGTCCGACACGTATTGGACACTGACGCCCTGCTAAGTGTTGAAATGTGTGGTGGTGTGTCAAAAATTATTGTCTGATTTTGTACTGCTGGACATGTCGCCGGACATGCAGTGAGCTTTTAGAATCAATTGAAAAAAAGTAAAAATAAAAATTGGAAAACTATCTGTTTTTTCGCTGGCGGCAGATATGCGCTGCTATTTGATTGCCGGCACAGGAGGGATGGAATCGGCTGCGCAAGAAGGGTTCTATGTCCTAGAAGAGGAAAACATTCTTTCCTTTTTAAACTTACCGGTCAAGTTCTTTTGCTTTTTAAAAGCGGTTTTACATATTAAATGAAATTGACCCATGAATAAAGCAGTGGACAATGAATAAAGCAATTTGCCCTTTTAGCTGATGAATAAAACAACGAGCCACTAAATCAATATGCCTTTCAAAACTTCACCTTTTTAAGCATTAAATTACCATCTAATCCCTAATTTCCCAGTAACAATTGTTCAGTCTAGCTGATTGATCTGAAAACCCTCTCTCATTTTTTATTCAATTAGATTCAAAGGAAAAAATGTTTTTGTGGCCATCTCATGGAGAAATAGTTGGAACCTTTTGCCATTTAAACTTTAAATCACAGTTTAAAAATGTGAATTGTACGAATTTGGTGGAGCCATGGAGCTGTATATGGTTTACTGCCTCGAGCTTTTTGCCTTTCCCCCTCTTTTTAACGGCTTGGATAGTTTACTATTGTTTGTTTGACTATAATACTGGTTTTAAATGTGCATTAAGGATTTTTGGATTTTTATGGAAGTGTTCTTATTCTCCATTTATGCAACTAATTAATAAACTTCTTATTTGAAAGCATATATTAATCATATTTTGTGACTCTCAGTCACTCATTGTATGTTCAAAGAGATGGGCTTGTGTTCTCTATCAACTGCTGACATATTGCTTTTGTGGAACTTTCAGAGATTATCACCCAGAAAATATATTCTCTTCCATGGAGTCCATTATGACTCTCATATTAGAAGAAAGTGAAGATATTTCTCCAGAACTGCTTACCGTCCTTTTGGCCAGTGTGAAAAGGAACAGCGAGGTCAAGTTTCCAGACGTTTACTTTACTAGTTATCTTTTCTATTTTGCAAATTTCTGATGAACATTATGCTTCCAGGAGCTTCTGCCAGTTGCAATGAACTTGGGGGAGAGAGTATTTGAGAAGTGTGCGGTCAAGCTTAAACCTTACCTCACACGAACTGTAAAATCTCTGGGGATTTCTTTGGATGATTATAGTGAGGTCGTCGCTTCTATCTGCAAAGAGACTGACGGTCCTGTTGGTCATAACATCGACAGTACCCATGGCGACCAGTTGGTATGTTCCCTATACTTGCTGCAATCCATTGTTACTTTTTCTTGTGTGGAAATTCTTCGTATATTTTATGTCCTTTGACTAAGCAGGAATTACTTGCCTCACTATGCTTCTGATACCAGTCCAGTTTCACTCTGTTATTGTTAGCATGAGCACATCTTTGTCTTTTACATATCCAAGTCCAATTTCACTCTGTTGTTATTCTTTGCAAGATTGCAGGCATTGTGCTTTCCATTCCTTCCTCCCTTTTCTGAGTTCCGTTTACAGATTCTCCACATTGCTTTATTTCTTTTAATAGTAATAGAAGCCATTACAGTATATTTCTGCACCGTATGTTCTACAATTGTAGTGCATTTGCTTCTGTGTTGAAAAGAATGAAATTTGTGTGGCAGTTGAATTTGATTTGTTTGGCATATGCTCTAGATTCTTACAACCTAAATTAGTGTTGTTTTGCAATAAATCTCATTGATGCTTTTAATTTATAATTGGTATCATCTTTTGCCATTTGAATTCAAACTTTAGTATTTTGTCCTGACTTAGTAAGTTGATGATACAAGGTTATTGAGAGGACTTCTGCTAGTGATTCTTCAGATCGGGTTTTGCCAACCCAGGCAAGTTACTGAATTATTTGATTCCTTTTCAAATTGCTATAATTTCTGATCCCTTCCGTTGTAGCTACGATGGCCATTTGCGAAATTTGTGAATTACGTTTTTTTTTTTTCGTGATTTCCTTCTTGTTAGCCTTCTTTTTTGTTGTGGTGATCGGTAGGTGTCATATTTCCTTCATCTTAGTAATAATCACTTTATCACTTGAATTAAAATATGAATTTTTAGCTCCGTTTGGTCCGGATTAAAATTTAGTTTCTAATCTAAGTCAAAGTCAACAATTAATTTTAACCACATATTTCATGGCACCCACAACTTTTCAACCACACACTTCATCAACTTTTATCAAAATTTACTAATATCTGATTTTAATCCGGGGCTTAGTACTTTGTCCTGACTTAATAAGTTGATGATACAAGGTTACTGATAGGAAGTCTGCTACTGACTCTCCAGATCGGGCTGTGGCAACTCAGCCAAGTTACTGAATTATTTTATTCCTTTTCAAATTGCTAAAATTTCTGCTCCGCTCCCTTTTGTTGAGCTACAATGTCCATCTGCCAAATTTGTGAGTTAAAAAAATTAAAAATGACTGAATTAGATTTTTTTGGTGATTTCTTTGTTGTTAGCCTTCTTTTTCGCTGTTGTAAATGTTTGTATGTCATACATCCTCCATTTCAGTAATAATCACTTTTCAGGAATTTAAATTTTATGTGCGAAGTATATAGGAATGAATTTTAAACTTCACCTTTCACATTGCTTTTGTCTTGTGCTATTCTTTTTTTTCCTCAATTCTGAAGATTCATGGTGAAATTGTTATGATGATTGCTCGTTAAAGGACCTAGGCTGCTTCAATAACTTTTCTGTGCCTGTGCTTTATCCCTGCCATCTTATCTTGAAAAGGTTAATTTGATATTTTTTGTGAAATAATAAGCGTGAGGCAAAAAGAAAAGTGGCAGTTCAACTCTTTTCCCACGATAGCCCCTCCCTGGCTTACTACTGCCCATATTATAGTTGATTCCTCTCCTAATGAAGGCCGACTCTCTGGAAGCCATGCGCAGTCGAATTCTGCTTTGCCCACATATGCTATCCATCGCTAACCACCATTACCAGCCCCTTGCTGCATTTTGTCTCTAAAAATGTCTTACCACCTGAACCGCTGCAGCCAAGCACTCATCTTAGGCCCTAGAGATCAATAATTTAGTCCACAGCCTCCAAGGATCCCAACTACTATGTCATTGTAACACAATGAACTAGCCTCGTAATGAAGGGGAATAATGTTCCAATCCTCTGCTTGAATGGTTCTGCTATTATCATACTTTCGTCTTTTACTCCCCGGAAATGCCATGAAATTCTATACTAGACAAGACAGAAGGGATAATTTAGACCAAAAAGTTTGGTAAATTACTTAGATATGCGAACCGAGTATTATTGATAGATAAATTTGGCTTTTTTCCGAACAGGTGGCTATAGATTTTACAGAAGAGACAAGTTTTGTAGAACAAAATCTCAATGCGAAAAGTTCACCCAAGGCAATTGTGAGTAATGGTGTTGACGAGGCTGGAAATAGAGGAATTGTGACTGATGCAGATTTTAAGAAGGAAGAATCCCTTGATGATAAATTGACATCCAAGACCGAGTCTGATGATTTGGTCGCTCAAAAACCAATTAGTTCAGAGCCTAAGCCTGAGCAAGCTTCTAATGAAATAGGAGGGGAACCTAACTCTTCAAATAATATAATAGGAACTTCTAATATTGTTGATGGTGAAAAAGAAACGGAGCAAGTGTCGGATCAGCAAGACAGTGAGGGCAAAGTTATTCGTGTTTCCCCTGGTGAAGAGGCATCAGTTGGGACAGCACAATCTTTGGACAAAGTAAAAGAGGCTGGGAATAATCTTTCTCCAAAAAATCTTTCTAACAGAGAGGCTCTAAATGTTGTATCTCCATCTCCAACTGGTAGTCTTCATGACGAGAGTCGTCCTAAGAAGGGTCGGAAGAAAAGGAAAGAAAGCTTGATTAAAGAAAAGAGAGTTTCTGATGATGCTGCTTCTGAGAAGGCATTTGATGGAGCAAGTGACTTGGAAGCAAAGAAGAGGAGGCGCGTAGGAAGAAAAGAACCTGCTGAGATTTCTAATGAGAATGAAGTATTGGCTGAGAAAGATGCAAGCAAAGATGGTGGCCCCACGAGTCATTCAGAGGAAAAATTGCCAAATGAGACTGTCAAACCAGTGGGTTCCAATAAAAGAAAGAAGGATGGATCCTCATCAAAGAAGGAAAATGGCATCAAGCGTGGGCGTGTAAAAGCTGGAGTAGCGAAAGATGTATTGAAATCTTCTGCAAAAGATGATGCCAGAGTAAATCAGAATCTCTCTCAAATGTCGCCTTAGTTCTCTGTTTCTTGTCCTGATCCCTGTGTTATATTCATCTAACTGTTTTCGTTTTCTTCTTCTCTAAAGCACACGGTTGCTTCGCTGAGGTCTCCTAGAAAATCAAATAAAGATGAAGGCAACCAGGAAGAAACCCCAAGGATGAGTATCAAAAGGAAGGGTACTCCAAGCACGGACAAAGTAAGTACTTGCAGTTTCTTTTAATACAATTCAAATTTTATCAAATGCCAGGCATCACGTTACATTTTCTGTATGATTGATGATTGATTTCATTTGCTGTTATTTATTTCTAGTGTTTAGCTCTTAGTACCATGCGTAGATTAAAATACTTCAAATTGTACCGTTATCTAGTATATCTTTTTCCATGTACTTTTTATTTCCGCTAAAAGTAACACTCATTTGTAGCTGTGATTTTGAATTTTTGCATGTGAAATTCTTTTGTACGAGGATTGAGTATTTTTAATATCAAGATAACTTTGGGTTGTACTTCCCACTACTAGTGCCAATGTAATAAAAATATTCATGTTTCAACAAGTACATATAGTGGAATTAAAAAAAAATCAACATGAAGTTCGTATAAGTTTTCTGACATTATTTCGGTTTTCTGATAAGTAATTTTTTTGCAAATTTTATATTCCCAATTTACGGAATGGCACTTCCCATGTTTATGTTGTGTCACGTCCTTCGAGTGTCAGATACAAAAAAGTATAGGCCATCCCACGTGGCATGTAGGGCATGTGTCCTATTGGGTCTAAATCCTGTAGGTGTCGGGACACAGGAGCTGATACACCACCACAATGTCTGTGCTTCACGAATATGTCACTGATAGTTTTATTTGAACTTCCTTTTGAAGTACATGGAATCATATCTGGATAATTTGCTCATGTGTTCTCTTCATGCTTTGCTCTCTTTATTCATGTGTGTTTGGAGGTTTTGATTTTTGTTGAGAATGGTCACATGTGGCCGTGGTCTTCCGGGGGCTCAACATTTCCTGGCTTTTTTTATTGGATTGTTTCAAATGGACGAATTATTCTCGACTCTTTTGGAGAAACATGAAATCTTAGGACTCATAGAGCCAATTGTCATGCATATGACTTCACCCGATATTTTGATTCCTTTCATTCATTATATTCTCTAATTAATTTGTTGTTTTCTGTCAGGCATCCGGGACTATTGAGTATGGTGAGAACTTGGTTGGTTCAAAAGTTAAAGTTTGGTGGCCAAAAGATCGCGCGTAAGTGTTTTTCTTACATTTAATGTTGTATAAAGTAGTAAATAATGGGAGGCTCTCTCAATTTATCAACTTCTCTGCTTCCTTTCTTCTCCTACTGCAGCAATTTTAAGATGCTCTTAAATTTTTCTTTTGTCAGGTTGATGTGTTGTGCCTTTGTTATTGTCAGTAAAAGAACTTATCAGAATGTGCATGTGTAACCTGTATTAAAAATTCCATTTTCCAGCTTTTCAACTGCCTCCTTGACTTTCTTTAGGTTACTTTGTCTACAACTGGCCTAATAGTAGAGGGAGATGAATATTTTCTGCTTGTGATTGGTAATAGCGCTTTATTAATTTCAGGTTTTATGAAGGTGTTGTTGGTTCTTTTGATTCTGTCAAAAAGAAGCACAAGGTCAGTCGTAATCTCAAGGTTCTGCATTTTAACAGGTTTTAATTGTTTTGAATGTGAAATTTGTTCTAATTAAATTGTTGGTTTCATCTTATACAGATATTGTACAAGGATGGAGATGAAGAGATATTAAATCTTAAAAATGAAAAGTGGGAATTTGTTGAAGGTGGCTCGGCGATGGATGCGGTAAGTACCTCTTTTATTTTATTACAGTTCCTCATGCTTCCCGTTTTCTATATCTTTGCCATCAATTTCTTGGCAGGGGCAACCAGTTGAATGTGCAAGTGCTGATATTCCCTCTGAAATGTAAGTGTTGTGCGCTCTCTGCCACTTTCTTTAATGATATTTTATTCTCAAGAACTTCATAATGTAGCTTAATAGTAATTTAAAAATTTTATACATTTGAAAATGAGTCTTGACTTAGTCTAAAAGTGATATCATCATATAAATACCTAGTTTGTTAGATTATGGACATGACCAATTGCTTAAATATTAAAATAAAAATTTGAGTTGATTGTAATTCAATTTCTTTCAAATGTGAGTTGTTACAATAGTTTTACCTGTGTTAGTACTCTTAGCCTCATAGGAGATGAGTGGCCTAAAATATCCCTCCTCCCACATCCCTTTCCCGTACTCCTCTGTCGCATGCATAAATGAACTATTATCTAGTTTCTTTAAGCACATGCGAAGAGTTTGTTTTGAACATGCAGAGGTCAATCCATGATAAGTCAAATTTATGTCTGTAACATACACACTAATTACTTGAATATCACTTAAAACATGATTATACAATTATATAATGTTAGTTTAGGAATAAAACTTCTGAATCCAATAAGCCTGTCATATTTATGGAGTATGATTATAGTGGGAAGCAGTGTTTTAGATGTTTTGGTTTCCTATTTATGAATTATCTTCTTGGAGAAAAATGAGAAGTGAGATGATGGTTCAGCTGGAAGGCTACAATTACTTTGATTTCAGTGATTGATATTCTGCTTTCCTTCTATCAGGAAAACGAAGAAAGCTAAAACAAATCCCGAGGCATCAAGTAATGATGGAAAGATGAAAATATCACGTAAAAGGTTATTTTCTAGTCAATTTTTAATGGTTTATGTCTTCTGTTGAAGTGCAATAGTGTTACTCAAAATGATCACTGATGTATCTGTATCCTCCAGTAAACTGAAAAACACCGCAACAAGATCTGGTAAATCTAAGCAGGATGCCAAAGCTGACCCTAAGGCTGATGATGACACCTCAAGTTCTGGTGGTAAATCTCTTGAGGATTCCCCTAAAGCATCAGGCAAAACTAAAGACGTTGATGCGGTGAAGACTTCTGGTCATTCTAAGCAAGACACACAAAAGACTCCCAAGTCTAAAGAAAAGAGCCCTCGAAGTTCCCATACAGTCGGTGCTAATGGTAAGCGCAAGACGAAATCCAGTATGTCGAAGTTTTTGAAAGAAACTGATCATGTAAAGGAGAAAACAAACGATTCTGGGAAAAGGTCAGAGATCAAGAAGGGAAAATTGCATGATACATCTGCACCCCCAGAAAGTGGGAAGAAGCGTCGACGAGGAGCAGCAACTTGATGACCATCGTTGTCTGCTGTATAATCTAGATCATCTCTGTAGTTTTCTTAGGGCTGGATGTTAAATTAGGTGTGCATTTCACAACTTGCAACTAAAGTATTTTATTTTTGTTCTTTCAGTTACTTATGAAGCAGGTTTCAGTTGGTCTAGTCATGTTTGGTAGATAAGAGTTTGGGCCGATAAATACTCACATTTCGTTTGTAGGATGTAAAGTATTGATGGGAAAATTGCATGTAGGTTTCTCAAATTTTGTTTAACTTGCATGAATGAGCGTCTATCTACAAATAAGCTCTCCGTCGATATTAAAAAAGTTTTGAATAATGCTGCGTGTACGTAATGGAGTTACATAACGGTTTATATACAGATGACGTGTCAAAAAGAGGAATTTTTTTTTATTTTTTAATTTGGTTGAAAAAAATTATGACTTAAATCATATTTTCCTACACGTAAATTATTCTGTACATATAGCACAATAAAAAAGGTTTTGAATTAGATAAGCATCACAATATTCGAGGTATATTAGGATTTTACACAATAAATTTGTGTCAAAGTATCAGTTCTATTACCAATTAGAGCATCTGTAAGAAACTTTTCATTTACATATAAAGAGCATATTTACGCTTAGAGAGTAATTTTTTTTATTCGCTTCAATAATGCTATTTATTTTGTCTTTGCCTTTTGTTTTTCAATAGGCATTTATTAATTTCCTTTCATATTTTATTTAACAATTTGTTTATATAATAATGATCAATCAATTTCTAATAATTTAAGAAGTAGAATATTGAGATATAAACCAAAAATAGGACAAGTTTCACTTTTCAAATTTGAAGAGTGACCCTATAATCTATTTTCTTGATACTTATTTTGAACATTTTGTATTTTGAGAATTTCTTGTAGATAATTTAAAAGAAGTCCTTTTTGCCTCTAATTAATACTATTTCGATTAATTTCTTAATAATCAAAGTGAACCTATTTTTTCAACGGTTCAAAATTCATGAGTAATTTATCGATTTAAGTAGTAGTAGATTCTTCATTTAGTCCCTGGTTGACCTATTTTCTTTCTAATTCATTTTTAATCATATATTTTTTGAATAAGATAATTTTGTACAAAAACTCATAATTTTTCTCTACTTTTGAATTATATATTCGTCGAAAAAATTGTTTTTCTCAAAATTATCCTCAGAAAATCTCTAACAATCATGGAATTATTGTCTGAATTATTCATTATTCAAACATAATCCTTGAATTGGTGGAATCTAGATTGTAGTGGACAATGAATAAAAAAGGTCCAGTACCAATTCATAATCATTAAAACTTTATCCTTGAATTGATGGAATCCAAATATTAGATTCAGCTTAATTTATATGTTTCCCCTGCTTATGTCAATCGATTGCCCTGTCCGAAAGCACACTGTAGAGGGATAATGACACTTCAACCGACACTAGGCCATGTCTGTCTTAACTATAATAATAATAATAATAATAATAATAATAATTTTGAATTGTTTCAGGACTTCGTCTCTCGTGTCTTTTCATTAAACAACCTTCACTCTTTCAGTGAAAATTGCAACCCATATGAAAAGCGAAGATTTTTAAACGAATGACCGCACCAAAAAAACATTCATATGACATTTTAGAAAAAAAAAAAAAAAAAAAAAAACTATTAATTTTTTTACGAAGCATTTTTTGTTATGATTTTAGTGGTTTTTTATTTTTATT